GATTTAACTGCGGTGACACACAACATGCCTTTATGTTAAAATTAAATAAACCCACTTCTCATAAAGAACAAGAACATGGTCTTCTTTTTAATGAAATACCAATGGTTATATAGGCTAATTATGCATTCTTTATAGCAACTTGTTTACCGTATTCTTCATTATTTCAAGCAGACATATTTATTTCTATAAATAAATTTAGATTAATCTTTAAGACTACTAAAGTTTTTCAGTCAAGAGCAATGCGTGATTTTCTGTCTTTCTTTTGTTGCTTGATTAACATCAGTGACTCGGACAATAGCAGCTAAATTAGGCTGCTGTCCCTTTAAAACCTAATGCACGGCTGCAATGGATGCAATGTACTGAGACACGTTGTCCTTACTGTTTACGTTCACTTAAGACGTAATCAACCGTGTTTACGTGAATATTCGCCAAAACGGACAATTCGACATCATTTTGTGTGCAATTCTCCATTCATGCGACGCGAAAGAGTACTCGCGCGCTGTGAGACGCGCTTTTGCGCTCAGAAAACCGGACTGAATTGAGTTCTCTCTTGCGTCGTCAGATTTATCCATATGTCTGCTTTTCTCTTACTCCCACATATTGAAATTTTTTAATGTTTTATGCGACGTGCAGCAAGTGTATTTTAGCTTATGTCCCGCCGGTTCATATGTACGCATCTAACCTCCGAACCACGCAGCAGATTCGTTCTGAATGAATCTCTTCCCAAATCGTCCCTACCTAACATTTTCGTCTCGTTTTTATTCGTTGACGAAAATGTCAATAGATTTACGTCATAGTTTTTGTCATTCAAAAAGAGTTTTAGTTCGTTATCGTCTTGTTGTCATTGGTGAAAAAAATGTCGTTGACGACAATTATGACGAAAATTATTCGTCAACGAAATTAACACTGCTGCATTGTCAAGGTAGCAATGTTTAACTGTGTGAGCGCATGCGGCGGCGCCGCCGTAATCACTTGAATTTTTTTCCTTCTAACAGAGGAAGCAACTACTCATTTTAGTCATAAAGATAATCGGAATTGTAAAAAGTTTGCTTTTATTTGTGTACATTCACAATAAAAACAAATCTTTGTGCTTTTGTAAAATAGGCCTAAAGAAAAATTATCTTGGTTTCCTTTCACGCACAACAAAAATGAACCAAAAACTCTGCATAGGCTACTTGTTGCACAGTTTTTTCTTTCGTTTTCTTAATTTATTAAGTAAAAATATATCATTGTTTGCTGCTTTTCGCGCATGTAAAATGAATCCCCGGAAAACAAATGTTAGTATTTTTAACGGGTCACAGCCGCTTATCCTTTCTAATTTATTTCAATTCTAATTTAAAATAACCTTGTCGGTTAACGGTTAATAATCGGTTAACGAGCGACGGTTGTCGGTTAAGAGAAATAACCGAAATGAACATCCCTAATACCATCTTTATGTTGTTTCTACATTAATTTGGAGGTTCATTGTGAAATTGTGACAATATTAATATATTAATATGCGATTGATTACAATTACAGAAAAATGTGTGATTAATAAATTTTTTTTAATCAATTGACAGCACTAATTTTAACCTTTTATAGATGTTACTCTTGGTAATATTAGTTCATCTGACTGCTCAATACGCATTTCAATTTATTTCTAATTTTTTTAGCCCCCCCCCCAATAGAAAGAAATCGGGACAGCAACCCACCCCTTTGGCCCCCTTCGAATTTTCAGTTCGATAATCCGACCCTTAAAGGCAGGGTATGTGATTTTTCAAAAACACTTTAGAAAACTGATTCGGGTCGAATAGTAAAACAAACTTGTAGCCAATCAGCAATAAGGGGCGTGTCTACTCATGATGTGGAGGAGAGAGCTTTCAGTGCATGGGACGGACATTAGCCGAGCCGAGCGACAGAAAGATAGAGATGGCGGATAAAAAACAAAAGAGGAAAACGTCTGCGGAACGATAAGGCAAGAAGTAGGACCCGTGTAAATATCGGATCAGCTTTCCAGCGCTGGAGAGAACTCAAGGAGCGGAGGCCTGCGATCGGACGCCGAGGTTGCTATGTTTCTTCTCAGTAGGTGAGTAACACCGTGTCTACAACAACTAAAGTCTGCCTACACTGGACGCGAGAAAGAGGTCAAACGACCGTTGAAAACCATTTGAAATTTAGGGGCGTGTTTGTTTTGGTGATTTCAAATATCAACATTGGCTACCAGAAATCACTTACTCTGCCTTTAAATGAAGCTGATTGAATAGCCCTGGTGTAATCGTTAACATGATTTTTTTAAAATCATAATATTGCGATTGTATGTATTAGGCTACATATGTAGTTGTGAATGAAAACCTGTGGATTTGGTGCCATGGAACTTTGAAGGATATTATACATGAGAGTTCAAGGAATTGTCTTTGGACTTGTTTTATTGAACTCTACAGTATATGAGGAGCTCGGTCAGTTACTATATAATATTGTTTTTGAATATTACAGAGCATTTTCACAGTGCTGAGATGAGGGCTCATTGTGCTTGCTGTGTTTGCTCTTACCTCCAGTGGAATTTCAGGCTCAGCAGTGCTTAGTAGTGGTTAGGCTGCATATTGACATGCTTGCACACCTTCCTCAGTCCATTGCTTTATAGAAGTCGTTTGCGTCCTGTGATGCCAAAACATTTGTTAAAGTTTGGACAATGTACCTCAATACTTCTTCATTCTGAGCATTGCTTTTATAGATACTACTAGGGATGCACAGATATAGAAATGATGGCCGATACCAATTTTCATGATTTTATGTTATGCTATACTTTATTACTCTATACTGTATAACTTGGATCACATTACTGTTTAAAATGGGATTCAGAGTTTTAAGTTAATTTTAAGTTTTGAATTTTAGTTTTAGGTTCTATTGAAGTTTTAGAATTTGTCATGCTTCCCATTATAAAGACATAAAAGGGTCACTGATATATTGTGCATCCCTAAATATTACAGCATTTTATTTTTGTATTAAATGTCAACTTTTGTTGCTATCATCACTGTAGGTAGCAAGTAAAGATTACTGTACAGTATTTTTATCGCTTACCAGATCAGATATTTGACAATTTACAGTTGTGCAACCGTGAATTGTAAAAACAAACTATCTGATGTTTTTCAGAGGGGGCATTTCTGTGTTTATTTTAAGTCACAAACTGAACCTGTTAAAAGATCTAAATGCCAAATGATCTGCAAAGTTTAAATGAGTGATATATTGATATAAACTACTCTTATTATATACATTTTTAATACCGATCTTTTGAAATATTATGAATGTCTTTACTGTCACCTGCTAGGTTCTTATTAATTTAATGCATCCTTGTTAAATAAAAGTGTTACTTTATTTCAAATAAATGCTGTTCTTTTGATATTTCTATTCATCAGAGAATCCTGAAAAAAATGCATCAGACTTTCCACAAAAATACTAAGCAGCACAACTATTTTCAACACTGTTAATAATTATAAATGTTTCTTGAGCATCAAATGAGCATATTTTGAATGGTTTCTGAAAAATAACGTATCACTGAATTGCATATGCATATTAATATATATTAAAATAGAAAACAGTTATTTTAAATCATAATACTTGTAAAATACTTGTAAAATTGAAAATGATTACTGTTTGTACTGTGGTTTTGATCATATAAATGCAGCCTTTGTGAGCAGGAGAGACTTCTTTCACAAACATATTACAGACCCCAAACTTTTGAAACTTTTAATCCGTTCTAAATTCGTTCTAACATGCAAAGGAGTTCACCAGGAGCGGTTGTGTGTTACACAGATCCATTCTGTAATGCACATTTTTGACATTTCTATTCATCAGAGAATCCTGAAAAAAATGCATCAGACTTTCCACAAAAATACTAAGCAGAACAACTATTTTCAACACTGTTAATAATTATAAATGTTTCTTGAGCATCAAATGAGCATATTTTGAATGGTTTCTGAAAAATAACGTATCACTGAATTGCATATGCATATTAATATATATTAAAATAGAAAACAGTTATTTTAAATCATAATACTTGTAAAATACTTGTAAAATTGAAAATGATTACTGTTTGTACTGTGGTTTTGATCATATAAATGCAGCCTTTGTGAGCAGGAGAGACTTCTTTCACAAACATATTACAGACCCCAAACTTTTGAAACTTTTAATCCGTTCTAAATTCGTTCTAACATGCAAAGGAGTTCACCAGGAGCGGTTGTGTGTTACACAGATCCATTCTGTAATGCACATTTTCTGTTATTAGAGTTCTTTCATTGGATTTTAAATAAATAATGTGCACTTTTTTTGAATGTGCCATATACTGCCATTGTATTGTATGATATATCTACTATATACACCATAACAGCCATTGGCCACCTTGCTCTCTCAGCTCAGCTTCTTTCCTTTTTCAGATTTATTTACATGCATTTTTTTTTTTGTACAATTTGCCAACTTTTTTTTTTGTGAATCAATCATGAATTTAGTCATGTTTTGTCAGCTTCTATATATTTTAATGGTATTTGAATTCTGTGCTTATTTTTGTTTGTTAGGGCGTTTTAATTGAAACGTTCTCATTTCAGAAGTATTGACTACGCTCTCCTTTCATAGACCTTGATCTTGTTTGCGAGACTGTATGACTGAATGCAGTGTGTTCATACAATCCAGCAGTGTAACCACATGACGTGTGTCATAAGTGTAGAGGTGTTACGGTCATGTATGGTTTGAGTATTGATTCCCCATGCTTCTGCGCTGCTTACTGTCGCTCTGTAGTTAGATCTGTGTGTGTGTGTGTGTGTGTGTGAACCTCTGACCCAATGCTCACTCTCCTGTCTGCTCCTCAGATTGTGTCCAGTTTCAAAGCCACCACGTCTCGTGCAGTGTGTCAGCTGGTCAAGGAGTACGTGGGACACCGGGATGGGATATGGGACCTGGCTGTGACTCGGGTTCAGCCGCTGGTTCTAGGCACAGCTTCAGCCGGTAAATCTGCCACAGGCACACTTACCTTACCCATTATTTTTGTTTCAATCAAGAGTTTTTTTGCCCTGTCCTGATTAATCCAAACAGCATTAATTATTGCCTTTTTCTCAAGTATTATGTAAATACATATGGATATCTCTTTATTTATACAGTTCTATATAGAGTACAAATCTGTACATAAATCTACTGTTCCAGATTCATACACATAATTTTTTGTTAAGTCTTACTATTTAAATGTTTTTTCTGTTCTCATGTCAGATGTGTATGTATGTATGCATGTGTGTATGCATGTGTGTATGTACCAGGAGCACCTTAAAAAAACTAAAAAACAACAACAACAACAAATTCCTAGTGTGTTTGCGCACACCTGGCGAATAAAGCTAATTCTGATTCTGATAAATAGTCAAAAAGACTGTATTTTTATTAGAATCTTAATATCACACTTATTTCCTTTTCATAAATCTATTTTACACTAGGTTAAAAAAATTTTACACTAGGACCTGAATAACAAAAATGTCCTTATTTAAACCCATTAAAAAAATAATGCATAATCCCAGTGCCATATAAGCATAAGATTATGCATTCCTCGGCTTTCAAAATTCTTTTGGCAAAGCTTCAGACTTTGTACTATTTTAAATTTTTGGCCTATGGAGCTAATACTAAAAAAGGCATATTGAATTTTGAAAATTATGAAATTATAATTGGGTGGGTGTACTGTGAATTATGATTTGTATGCGTTTACTGAGAAATTTGTGTGTGAGAGAGTGGTAGTTTTTGTTGTTTATTATTGGCATATCCAAAACTGTAATAATAATAATAATAATAACAATAATAACAAAAAATTGTATATGGAGGAAAAAAAACAAAAAACAGTGCCATTATGTAAACAGACTGACATTTTAAAGGGTTAAAATCTTGAAAATGAATACATTTTTGGTAGCTAAGATGTTGGTTTTAAAATGTATGTCAGTGAAAGCTTAAAAAATTAATTTATAATATTTTATGACCGTTTTTTTGACATGGACATTTTTCGAAAGTCGTTTTTGTTTTTTTATTACATTTTTTTTTCAATGAAAAGTTACCCATTCTGACTTTTTGTTTTATGTTTATTTAATGTTTTATTGCCGATACAAATCACAAATCTTAAATTGTATTTAGACATGCCCTAAATTTTGACATGCCCTTTGCTCAAGTTGCAAATCATACACTAATACACTGCTGTTCAAAAGTCTGTCTTTATGCTCTCTTATGTCTTTTTATGCTTAGCAAGGCTGCATTTATTTGTAGAAACAGTAATGTTGTAAAATATTTTATTACAACAATTTTGTTTATGGATATATTTTAAACTGCCTTTTATTCCTGTGATTGCAAAGCTGAATTTTCAGGAATCATTCTATCATTCTTCATTCTTTAGATCACTGCTCCATGCTGTGGAGTATTGAGACTGGAAAGTGCCTGCTAAAATATGCTGGTCACGCTGGATCAGGTGTGAAGATTTGTGCCTGTAACTCTGGTGTTAGTTTTGTAAACTTACATATTGAGATTGGAATCTTCATATTTGACATGCTTTGTTATTTTGTTTTCTTGCAGTCAACTCCATTAAGTTCCACCCCACAGAGCAGATGGCGCTTACAGGTATACAACAACACGTTCAATGGGTTTTACACACTTCCATGTGAAACAATAACAGTGTAGATTTCCCGTTTTTAATGGATCTTCATTTTGATGAACCGTGGTCTTTTAGTCTTTGCTGTTTTCAGCTGATAAGGGAACAAAACGTCACTAAACATCACTTGTATTGCGCCTACTTTCCAATTGATTATTGAATACTATTAATATTTAGCTTCGGTTTTCGGCTAAATGAAACTTTACTTTTGGTTTCGGTGAATCACTAATTTTGAGAATATTATGCATCAATTAAGCATACACCGCTTTATCAGGGACATTTATTATGAAAGCAAATAGAGTAATTTCCATTAAAGGGGTCATATGATGCGATTTCAAGTTTTCCTTTCTCTTTGGAGTGTTACAAGCTGATTGTGCATAGATAAGATCCCTGAAGTTGCAAAGACTAAAGTCTCAAAACCAAAGAGATATTCTTTATCAAAGTTAAGACTCTGCCACGCCCCCCTAAAACGGCTCATTCTAACACGCCCCCACATATCTACCCCACTATGTGGAAATATTTGCATAATCCCGCCGCAAATGTGCACGCAAAGAAAGAAGGCATGGTGTCAGTAACCGCAGTTAGTGTTGAAGCAGCATGTCAGGGAGACGCTGTGTGTTTCAGTGCGAAAGCAAAAGCACTTTATTTGGATCACTTACAACAGAACAGCAATGCATTTTATGGACGACCGTTTCGTGAACCTAGGAGAGGAGGTAATGCGGATTAACCGTGGCTTGTGTACTGCAAACACATACCAGCTTCCTCACTGTGTCTGTCACGCGACTCTGTTGTCCTTTCGGGCTTGAACTGATGGTAAAACTAATGACATTATTAACTGTCTTGATATTTATTTTGAAAGCTTGAAGCTCGCGATTATGGTAAGGGGCGTTACATTTCCGACAGGTGCTTGTGGTGTTCGGCCAATCACAGTGCACTGGGTCAGCTGGCCAATCAGAGCGGACTGCGCTTGTCAAAGGAGGGGGCTTTGTAGAAAACGAAGCGTTTGAGAGAGGCGGGGCATAGAGGACCTATAATAATGTACAGTATTTGAAAAATAATGTGTTTTTTGAACATTAAAGCATGTCAACATATTCTGTTACACCAAATACACAAAATAATGATCTTTAAAAAAGCATCATATGACCCCTTTAACTAACTTGTTGCTGATGCATGATTATAAACCGTTATTACACACTAAAGTCTGCATGTATGTGAGCAGTTGCTGATGCAGGAATCACATCTCTTACTGTGAATCTGTTAATGAGGTTTCATTTATCCCGTGACTGAAGGCTATATTGCCTTTTAATATTTATTTTAGACTGAATAATAAATCTTTTTTTCATGTCTCTATTTGTATCTCTCCCCCCACCTGTCAGATGCTTTTAAATGTGATTTGATAGATGACTGTCCTTTTTTTTTATACTGCTCCATCTGTGTTTGTTTTGCTGACAGCATCCGGGGACCAGACGGCACACATCTGGCGTTACATGGTACAGCTGCCGCTTCCTCAGCCCCCAGCAGACATCAGTGTGAGTGTTAAAACACACACACTCACACTTTCATATTTCTGTGTCCTTTTTATGTAATGATGCTTCTCCGATGCATCGTCTCTCATCCAGGTGTCTTGCTAATGCAAAAAGTCAACATGAATGCTGAAATCAGTATAATTTATTAGCAATTTTTGTGGACAATTTATAAGTGCATGTTATTTGAAAGACAAAAACAAAAAAAAGGTTTGTTGTTTTTTAATATATAGGGCTGCAGCATTAACTACACAGAGCCGTTGTTCACCGACAAGCTGCGCAAAACATGCGCAAAATATGATCGTGGTTTTGCGCAGCTTGTCAGTGAACAACGGCTCTGTGTAGTTAATGCTGCTCCATGTGAAAGCCCGCAGGTGATGGAGATTTACCGCTGATTAAAGAACCGGCTTTACTGACAAGATGCGCGTTAAATATCGCATGCGATTTATCGTGCAGCCCTATTAATATATCATGAAAACTTATTTCAACCCGGTGAGTGAACAGCAATATGAAAGCGGCTTCACGAGACTAATGATGAGCAAATATACAACAGAGAGAGAATTAAATTCAGCGCTTTTATTTCCAACATGCGCTCATTCATGGCTGTAATATTTAACTCATGCAAAATTACGTCTTTATTGGGAGAGGATCTTGACGGATTATCTACGTGACTCCGACTTCACGAGACTAACGATAAGCATAGACAACAGAGAGAGAATTCAATTAAGCGCTTTTATCTCCAACATGCGCTCATTCATGGCTGCATATTTAATTCAGGCAAAGTTACGTCTTTATTGGGACAGGACTTGACGGATTATTTTACATGACTCCGTGAGTTGGTCTCTATTTCTTAGAGCCAAGCTGCATAAACTACATATCAGGCATTTATGTAATGCATCTAATTTGTGCATAAATGGCTGTTATGTTAAATAAAGTTTACTAACTACAGCAAATCAAACCTGCACCATGTCGTTTTTGTTGTCTCCTCTCCCCTCAGACACGTTGCAATGGCGATCCTGCGCGCAATTCTCAAAACACCCACAACATGGCGGCGTTTATTGGTGAATCAGATATTACAAAACCGATATCCGATTATGGTAAAATGCTTAAATATCGGGAAAAATATCGGTAAATCGATATATCGGTCGATCTCTAATTCTTATTAAAGATCCAAAAGTGATTTTTCTCTGTCCTTTGTTATTTGGTTAACATTAATGACACAGACAGCAGCAAGTTTATTAGGCTGCTGTCCCTTTAAGACCGACTGCACTGATCCAAAATACTGAAACACATCCGGTTTTCACCCAAAAGTTACATGGTGTAGCATTACAATGTTCAGTAAATGGCTGTAAACGCATAATTTGATATATTAGTTATTATATTATTTATTAATATATTATTTCAAAGTCTGAATTAGCTTTACATACCTTCATTTCATGACTCTTTTTTTTCTTCTGTGAATCAGGCCTCGCTGGACGATGACGTGGACTTCTCTGATAAAGATGAGGCCGATGGGGAGGCAGATGGGCCCAATGAATGCCCCACTATCCGTATCGCCACAACGACCTTGAAGAGCCACCAGGGTGTGGTGATAGCAGCTGATTGGCTGGTGGGAGGAAAGCAGGTGGTCACTGCATCCTGGGATAGAGCCGCCAACCTCTATGATGTAGAAACCTCAGAGCTGGTGCACGCCCTCACAGGTAAACCAGCCACCGCTCTTCTCCACTGCTAAACCGGTTGCTTTTGTGGCTTTCTTGGTTTCCTTTGCCAGGGTTTTAGGGTCACATAGCTCTGATTTACACGTGTGTGTGTGTGTGTGTGTGTGTGAGTTTGCAGGTCACGATCAAGAGTTGACCCACTGCTGTACTCATCCCACCCAGCGTCTGGTGGTGACCTCATCCAGGGACACCACCTTCCGTCTGTGGGACTTCAGAGATCCCTCCATCCACTCAGTGAATGTCTTCCAGGGCCACACCGAGTAAGTCACATGATCTCGATTCTTACATGCCAGACATTTCACTGTCTACATAAAATATGATACAAAATTAACACTTGCCAAGTGCCAAATGAGAGTAAAAATGAAATTAAAGTGATGCAAAAGCTCTTCTAAAGTCAAGATCAGTGACTAACAGTGCTAGCAACTTACTAAAATTTAGCTAGGAAGCCAAAAGACTTTATTATCATAACTCCAGAACTCGGTGTGGCAAGACATTTTTGATGTTGCATCACCGAAGCGAGAATATAACGGACAAAATCTGTAAGGGTCTCAACAGTTGTGTGCCTGGCAGTGTTTTAGTGTGAGGCTGAAGCCTGTGTTTTTGAAAGTGACACTTTAACAAATCTATATTAAATATGAATTAGGGCTGGGCAAAAAATCAAATGCGATTTTCATGCGCATCTCGTCAGTAAAGCCGCTTCTGGTGATTAGTAGTAAATCTCCAGCACGTGCTTTCAGATGGAGTGGCATTTACTACACAGAGCCGTAGATCACTGACAAGCTACACAAAATCGCGTTCAAAATCGCAGGCGATTCATTGCCGATTTTGAATGCAATTTTGTGTAGCTTGGGTCGATTTTTTGCACAGCCTTAATATGAATTATCTAGTAGAGACAACAAAATGTATTCTTAATCAAATAATGCAAAATATAAAAATACTATTTCATGACTGAGAAGAAATAATTATGGCTGATAAATCAGTGACCAGTGATATTGTTAACTACAACTAAAAAATAGGATTTTTGTTACTGAAATAAAGCAGAAATAAAATTTAATATTAGATAAATAAATAAATAACATAAATGAAAATGTTGCCTTGGCAGCTAACTGAAAGAAAAAGTTAGTCGAAGTACTGAAATTACTAAAACTGAAATATTATATGAAAGCTAAATAGAAATCTAAAACAAAAACTGAAAAAATTAAATGGCTATTTTTAACTAAAACTATTAAAAATGGTTGAAATAAAGCTGAAATGAAATGAAATATTAGATAAAAAAAGCTTGAATTAAAAAAAATAAATAAAATGAGAAATGTTGCCTTGGCAATTAACCGAAATATGTTAAGTTAAAGTACTAAAATTACTAAAACTATACTGAAAAAAAAAAGAAGTTATAATAGTATATAAATAATACCTAAAATAACAGTGATGAATATTTTTAGTTTATTTATTGTCAATTAATTATAAGAAAAAGTAACAAATGTTGTTGTCATGATACTAGGATTTTGTGGGTGTTGCTATGTGGTTGCTAAGGTACTCTCGTCGCTACGACGGATTTCTGTCAGTTCATAAAGACTGAATGATTCAGTGATAAAATCAGTGACTTGCCGCCACCTGCTGGCGGATTTAGTTTCATTTTTAGTGTATAATTTCAGTTATTTGAATCATATTTCTGTATTCAAAATTGTATGTTTAAAACATTAATCTCCACATGAATGAATGAATTTAATTGCACTCATGCCACCTCTGAGCCTCATTAAAC